ATCTCTTATCCTTCTTCCACAATATTTTCCTCTTAAATGTATTTTCTTTTTATTCCTGATATTGATGTAAGCCCTCTATGTGTGTGTGTGTGTATATATATATATATATATATGTGTGTGTGTGTGTGTGTGTGTGCACGCGAAAATTTTCATTTCTTTACCTATTAATGTTTTCCAAATTTCATATATACTCTGAACAAATGTAATTCAGCTCATCTCACCTCAACCAACTACTAATATATCAATATTTTTTAATAAATATTTGAAATAATATTCACCAAATGATGTTTAAAATTACATATATTAAAACAAACAGCTATAGCGTTTTACACCGTTATATAAAACGCGTTACTTTGAGCCGCCATTAAGTTTACATCCTCGTCAAGGAGGAACAACAATAGCGTAAACTAAACGTAACTCTGTTATCTACAGCACTTACTAAAACATAGACACAATATATATAAAAAAAACAACACATATTTAGGGATACCATTCCTCCCTTTCTCTTCACTCAAACTTTTTTCTTTATACTATATTGGCAACAATACCCAGCAGTAGCTTAGAGCCTTATGCTATAAGTGGGGGCGTAGGCCGGCCTCTTCCACTATTTTGAGCCGTAGCACACGATCCGTTTCTACAATGAAAAGGCACTCATGCTACGCACTGCAGTCTTTCGCGTCATTAAAGCAGTAAAATTGAAATGGCGCCAAACTTGAACCGTTTGTCCAATTGCATATTCATTTAAATGTGATCATTTGGGGGTTCTTTTACCAAATATCATGGTTCAGCCAGTTCTTCATAAGAATTTGTAACAACAGACAGACGGAAAACACTGGTTTATAAAACGAAGATATTAATCACTGTGAACTTACTACAGTCACTCGTGAAATTAATATTTTTAGAGCAAACATAAAATAACAGTAATACATTTTCCGACTGTGACTGAGTTAGAAAATAAAATGTAATTTTTTGCCACGCATTGCGTGGTTTTGTTTGCAAATTCAAAATATCATTTGCCCAAGTTTCACTTCAATAGCTTGCGAACAATTTCATGTCTACATTTTTCATGACTGTGCTTAACGTAATGAGATTTGTCGTCCAAATCTGTATATAATTTACATTTGTATTATATTATACTCAATTTATATTAAAAGTATTAGTTTATTAGCAGCCGCAATACTGCAAAGGTTACGAACATTTTGAATGACGAATCTAATAACTTACTGAGACATTTTTATACGAATGTAAGCTTCAGTCTACAAAACAGATTTGTCTATCCACAACCAAATCTTTCTTCAGGTTGTTGTGTCCCCTGGCGGCTCGGCGATTACCTTTTAATTCTACTTTTATGCAGAACATAGTCAGTAGACTTGGCCAGTAATTAGTCGAATGGCATTTCCGTGATTCCAGTTTCTTCAGCCATTTTTAAATGAAAACATCCATTGCTTTCGAGGTGTGTCTGGAATATTGTGAACTATCGACTTGCAAGCCTCCATCATCTTTAAATTATTGTTTATTATTTTTCTACTGGTACGAGAACATATGCTTAGCTTCATCTCGATAAATTGAAGGGGTCAGAGGGTTCTCTTTTGAAACCACATCCTTCTCTTTGCAGATGAGGGCGTTGCTGAAAGTTGGCTTAGGGTATAGATTTGGAGCCCGTTGGTGTCTTAAACGTTCTGCTGTGCGAGTCTTTCCTAATTTCATGGAGAACAGTAAAGGTTCCTTTCTTTAAAATGTTATATTCTTTGACTCTACCTCGTATATTAATTTCATTCTTTATGAATGCACTTCCTCGGAAAGCCTGAGACAAAAACATCTAATCATAAGACTATATTTTGACGGGATCATAAGATTATATTTTGACGGGATCATAAGACTATATTTTGACGGCATTACAGTGTTAGACGGTCAGGTATTCGCCGTGATTCATATACACACCAACCATGGCGTCACAATTTATATCTTCGGTGTCACTGCAAGAGCAATACATGTATCTTATATAAAGTGGATTGACACAGTGTATGAATTTATATAAGGTGTGCTGATTTTACTCAGTCAATTTTATAATATCTTCAATCATCCAAATTATTAAAGTTATTTGCAGTCGTGAAAAACATACTGGATTTAACGGTAGATTGTATATGACTATACATTTCTAAGCTATTTTTTATCATAAGTTTAAAAAAATCTTCTGATCAAATGATTTAGCTTATTTATTTTTGACACTCAATGGGGGCACGGCATGGCCAGGTGGATAAGGCGCTCGACTCGCAATCTGAGGGTCGCGGGTTCGAATCCCCGTCCCACCAAACATGCTCGCCCTTTCAGCCGTGGGGGCGTTATAATGTGACGGTCATTCCCACTATTCGTTGGTAAAAGAGTAGCCTAAGAGTTGGCGGTGGGTGGTGATGACCAGCTGCCTTCCCTCTAGTCTTACACTGCTAAATTAGAGACGGCTAGCGCAGATAGCCCTCGTGTAGCTTTGCGCGAAATTCAAAAAACAAACAAAAAAACAGACACTCAATGGAAGATTAATTGACGTATTAGTGTAAAATACTGGCTTGGCTACTTAAAAGTAATATTACTCCTCGGGCAGTGCGTGGTCCGAGCTTGGCATGTTGCTTAGTGTATCGAAATATGATCTGAGTATCTTGGATTCGAGACATGGTGTTACCAAATAACTTTGAAACAGCTAACCGTGTATTATAAGAGTGACAGTCAATCACGTTATTCGACTACGAATCCCCTCTTCAGGTGGTGAATGCTGCTGATTGGTTGCATTCTTCTGGTTCCCAGTTCAAAATCAAGGACGGCTATACCTGAATCACATGGGTCTCTGATTTGGCCTCTTAGCCCATTAGGTGGATAAGTCGTTTAGGTGAACAAACAAAAGGCCATGCACAAGTTGAATCATTTTATGACACAAATGCGTACATCTAGCATTATATATATATCTTAAAATTTTAACGTGGATTTAAGACTATAGTTCAGTAATTCTACTATACGCTGAAAGCTCCAGGCTGCTGGAATTCACAGTCGAGGTTAAGCCACTATTTGTTGCGTCTTAAGGGGTCAAGTTTGAACTACAACTTTGAAAGCGCTTTAGACAGGAATGTGTCATCCGATCCGTGAAAGATGGCAGGAGTAAGATCATTGTGTAGAAGTCTTGGTTTCTGATAACTTGTTTGTCTCAAATCACTACTGGAAACGGTGTACGCTATAGCATGGTGTATTGTAATGTTGAAAGAGGCAATGTTTTTTCTCGTAGAATTCCATGAATGTACAGAATCTACCCATTGTCCAGCATGTCATAAAGCAATTATAGCTCCCTTACAAGGTCCAAATTTTTTAAAACTGACCCACAAAATGATCCTGCTCCACCATTTTTAACGGTTGGTATGACATAGTCCTATTCAAAGCATCTTAGAACGGACCACTTTGAAGCGCTTCCAAGAGACAGAATAAAAAGATGCCCAAATCTCACCACATTTGGAGCTACTTTAGAAATGGCGTAATGGTCTTTTACACTAATTGTGATCCTAATGGTTAGTATCAAACATTAGTAACAAACTTGAAGATGTAATTATTATAAAATGGATGAGTTTACTCCCTAGTATCTTGGAGGCTCATAAAGGAAACATAATACCTCCACTTCTCCAACTACTTTCGTTAATAAAGTGTAAAAAATATATGAATAAACAGTGAATATAACTAGGGCAGGATTTGCTTCCCGGTGGTTCAGTGGTAAGCCTTAGGACTTATAAAGCTATAAAGAGGGCTTCTGTTGTGTAGCTTTGTGCTTAACAACAAAAAAAGACAGGATTTGGACAAACTACATTAACATATAAAATAGGTAAATGTACATATAGAGACATATGCAATGTTTCAAAATGTCAATGGATAAAATAATGTTTCAAAACAAGCAATAAATGTTTAGTAATTAAGTTCAGCACTTTGGGAACTGGACTTTCATTGAATCCGCTTTATTAGAGCGTGTTTGGAGAAAGTTAAAATTACGTAATTACTAGAGGCATGATTTAAATGTCATCTTTATGATTGTCATGAAACAGTGTTTCCGTTACCTGTATAAAATTAGACGAACTTCTGGACTATTACTGAATAGTTTAATTCAGAAGACGTTTTTATATTACTTTCATTCGTTATCATTTAACCAGAACGGCTAACGTGACGTCAGTATTTTTTTGTTAAAATCATGCAAAGTTATCATGCTAATTGAAACAACATAATGTCGGCTTCATTTTGAATGAATTATCTTTAGGATTATGCATTCATTGTTTCATGTTATATAACAGATGCAAAGCTTAGAAAAAAACTTCATAAACATACGATATGCAACTGGAACACATTTAACATTGTGAAATCCTGAATAGGAAAATTGACACCATAAACCGTTTTTATTAAATGATAATCCGAATATATATATTTTTAGTCATGGTTTCTTGGGAAAACTAAACCCCCGGGTATCTTTTTTCATATGTCATGTTTTGTAAATGTTCTATACAGTTATTTGTTCAAGTTTTTTTTTATCTGTGTAATGATGTCCTTTCATTAGAGAATCTAATGACTTTTCCAAAACGTACGATATAATTTCTTGCAATTATCTAAGCGAAATTACTATATAATTCAAAGTATTACGTTGAGCCATTTATATTAGGCCTATTTATCCAATTAGATAACCTTACTGCTGATTTTCACTGAGGTCTAGGGTTAAACGAAAGGGGAGTTCAATGCATGTTGAAATGTTTGTTAAACGATCCCTTAGTTAAAAGAAGCAACTAACGTATCAATCAAATATCAGGTAATGCAAATCAACTTAGTGAAAAATTCTATTTAACAGGTACTTGTTTTAAATTTTCATTATCCCATTCAATTAGTACAAGAAACTCAGTCACATGGAATAACAGAAAAAACTTTACAACTCAAACTTAACAAGGAAATGAACTTGATTAAACTCCAAAGACAAGTACTTCACTAACCTCTCTTCTTTGTTCCCTTTACGAGACTTTCACACACCACTTCGACAAATAAGAATGCTGACACAATACTTACATCCCGCCCTCGCCTGAAAGCACTATAAAAGATGTCCGGCTGCTTAGACAACGGGCTCATGAGCCAGCAACCTTCTGAAACAAAGAGACAGGAAATTTCTCAAGAAATAGTTTAGAGCAATCACCTAATAGTGTTAATTGTGATGTTGCTTAGACACTGTGCCACTCCCATAGAGTTAGCTCCTTGTAACAGGCTTTGCTCTCAATGGATCGTCAAGGCAAATGACACAAGTGACACTTAACATTGAGAAACTAGTAGCATGAAATCACAGAAGGACGTGAGCTACATAACAAAAAGATGTTGTCCACTAAATTTTTGTCATCTATCTGTTCCCCGCCTATCTATATGACTATATTTCAGCTTACTGCCTATCTCGGGCTGGGTGTGACCGAGTAATTTTCTGGCTTTGAATCCGCAAAAACGCACTCCGCACTCTGGGGCCGTGGTTACGCTAAAACAGTGACGGCCAACTGCCATTATTCTGTCAGATAAGAGTAGCCCAAGAGTTGATGATGGGTGCTGTTGTCTGCTTGCCTTCTCTCTAGTATACAAGTACAAAAACAGGGACGATTATACGGAGGTATCTCTTTGTGTAGCTTTGTCTGAAACAAACTGTCTGTCTATCTATCCATCTGTCTGCTTATTTAGCTACCTATCCGCTTATCTGTCTGTCTTTAATAATAGCAGATTGTAGAAAATAACTTCCTAAATAAACATGGATGTCAAT